GCTGGCGCCTGGAACTAGGACAGTACTCCATCCTACCAGTGTATTAAAGCAGTCAGATCAACCAGACATCAGAAGCATCTCCGGATTGGAATTGTTTAATCCTCACCACTCGTGTTGTGTGACAGCTGTACAGTTATGAATCGTGAAGTTGTAACAGGACTGTATCAGTGCATGCTGGGAGACGTACAGCACCTTTATGTGCTTGCCTTGTCACTGTGCTTTTTTTCCTGGCCATCACTTTTGACCATTTTGTCCACCATTTCTGTTGCTTAAAACTGAGTAATCATTTGGCAGTTTTTCATCTGGAACAGGAGTCGTGTTGCTCCTGGAGCCTCTAACATTGCCCGTTTCCTTAGGATGAAGATATTTTTACATATGTCTAAAAGAGAATGAAAACATGGAAGTGCATTAGGTCGAACCAATGTATTTAAATTCTCATGTGATAGTTCTCAAAGACAAAATTAAAAAATCCAACCTTGCAGAACACCTTTAGCTTCTCATAAACCCTTTGGTCTGATAAACCAGTCCTCCTGGTTGTTACCTCGCTGTAATTGGATGGCAGGCTTCTCACAGATATAGAAAAGCTTTGCTGTACATGATTTGCTATATATGGTACTGTAATAGAAATATCCACAGTGTTGGACAGAGTGTACATGCTTTGCCCTAGGAAAGAAAAACCTTTGTTATTACATTTCACATCATTCAAAGGGTGCATTCTTGCCTCTTCCAAAAAGAGCTGTCTTTGCAAGAATTACTTATGTGACTTTCACAAGAATATATACCCCCAACAAAGAAATAAAGTGCTTAGTGGCATCATGCATGAACTCACAGGAGGCTAACACTGTTCTGAACATGCCGACAAGCACTTGCAGCAGAGTGTAAGGGTGGATCCTAAACCATTTCTTGTATCTGACATTAAGAAATGCTAACTTCTGGGTGCAGACTGGAGAGTGTCAGTGGCTGTTTCAACAGAAATCTTAAGAGGAGACTGCCCAATAATGAAAAGAAAATTTGGCAAAGCAGGTTTGAAAGCAAGAAGAAAAATATACTGAATTTCTGAAATAACATGGTAAACCAAAGTGAAATGATTCTAGAGAATAAACAGTGTCATATAAAATTAAAGAAGTATAAAGTCAAAAATGTGGAATGAACACCTTTTGGAGTTTTTTCCTTGTGTCCTCACTGAAACAAGGTGTCAAATACAAGCGAAGCATATGACATTCATGGTCCATCTGAAACTAAATTGCGGAAATAAACTTTCAGAGTTTTTTGCCAAACAATAGTGTTCAGATCACCTTCCAAGCAGTTCTGCATGAGGCCAAGAAAAATCTGAAATGGAAAGGTGAGACCCAGAATACAGAGAAACCTGCATAAAAGCTGGCTGCTCAATGGTTCCTTTGTGTCAGACTAAACTGGGAGTTGTGTGTGGTTGAGGACCAAATTTAGGTACTGTGGGAAAGCTGCCCACTTACCAAGACTTCTGTTCTTCTGTAAGAGCTGTGTTGTCTGCCCAATACCAGTCTCTCTGTTTATCTTGAAATGTTAATCCAAGCCAGTATATTCCTCTAGGAAATTTTTTTACCAGTTCCTATGCAGAGTAAGCACAATTCAAAACAGTTATTCAGGAAGATACTAAAAATAAATAATTAGGCTCAGAAGTTGAAAGCATTAATGGAAATTGCTTAAAGAATATAAATACCAAAAATTGCTAACTTGTCAGGGCAAGTTATCTTTTAGAGGAAAAGCCTAGTATCAAAGGAGGAATAATAGTAGAGCTGTTTTTAATTGGAGAGAAGATACATTTATAATGCTTAAGAGCAATGTCACCCTCGTCTACCTGATTTAAACCCTCTGGGTGAAACACTGGATCATTCTCCCCCATTTAGTCATGAATCATTCCTCCCCCTTTACTCTGTCTTTAGCATTTGTTAACAGTGAAAAAGAAGACCCTGCAGGGAGTTGTTGGGTTTGATTTGCTGAACCTTCACACTGGGCTCTAGAGTTGTTTACTTATTCCCAAAAGCTGGACCATGACAAGTAGAGGAGATCTTGAATTAAGCATTTGGCAATATTCTGTTCTTAAAAAGTTCTGAGCAGAATAGGTAGGTATGCTGCCTTTATCACTGATGCTGGAGGGAATTTCCTGAAGATCTGAACTCAATTTTTTTCTGTTGTTCTCCTTCCTTCACTATCATTGCCATTCCCATTGCACTTCTCCCGTTTGTCTTTTTCCTCACACCTCTCAATGCCGTGATTAAGACAGCTGGAACAAACTACACCTCACAATATTTGCTATCCTCAGTTTGGGAGGGTAAGAATAAAGCTTCTCTCCTTTTCTTCTGGGAGAAACCTTATGGCCTGCAACTCAGTGAGAAGGAAACTGGTGTCTATTGAGTGCTGGAGAGCAGGCAAGGCCAGACCTGACTGCTAGCTCTTGAGACATATTTTCTGCCTTCAGTCTTCCAGTACATCTGCTGGCATACAGAGTCAAAAGCATTGTATCACTCTACATCTGGCATTTTTCCTTCCCACCTCTGTTTTCATTTACTAAAAGATTAAACCAGATTTCAGCAAAGCACTGGCAAGTGTTTTAATTTCGATTGAAAAGATGAGATCAACTTTCGTGGAAAGAACTTTTACAAAATGGGGAGGACTATGGTTTGCCTGTGGGGAGACCAAGTTAAAAGAGGTTTTCACACTAATATCTTACTAAATCCTTGTATGCATATGTAATACTTGTTAAATCAGCAAAATCATTGCCCACAACAAAACAGCCATGAACCAGCTTTCATCAGTCACCCCAGTAATTAGTCAGCCACAACAAGCCAAGGCAAGATGGGCTGTGTCCAACTGTCAGCTGCTCTGAGGACTGCTCTTTGTGTGGTGATGACCAGTGCTATGCCTTAGCACTGCCCAGGGCATCCTAATCACTGTAGAAAAACTGCTCACAGTGCCATTTAAGAAAATCATGTGTGAGGTGAATAGCTGATAGAGTGCATGAACTTCCTCCATGCTAAACAGGGTGAGAAACCAGTCCATACCAGCTTTTCTGTCTCTTTTATGAGAAGAAGAGTAGAGTTTTGTGAGGAACAAAACTGGTGACTCTGTTCCCACGACTTGTCTTCTTCTGAGTGGTAGTAACACGTATCACCACCTTCCCACTTCCAGTTTGCAGGGCAGAGTACACAGGTCTGGCCTGGAAAAGGAAAACTATCATTCTATTTCTGTTCCCAGGATGACCCTCACAGAACACTGCTGTTGGCTGGTGACGACAAGATCTGTAGGGAATGAAGAAGTTTGAGATATTCCTCATTCAGTCAAAATCCCACTGTGGTCTCAGAAGGTTCTGTCAATGACAGAGATGAAAACTGAATCATCCCCCTATCTCTCCCATTCCTTTAGCACTGGGAGTAGGTTCAGGTGTTGCAAATGAGATTTATTTTGGCTAATTTTAGGAGTCTGCAAAGGTCAGCTGTGTTAACCCATCTGGATACCCGTTTTAATTCATGGACAAAAGTAGGTGTGTCTCGTGTGTGCTTTTTCTGTCATTTCAGGTGTCTTTCTTGCACTACAAGTTTCTCTTCATTGACTAAAAAGCTGGACAGTTACCTTCTCTGTGAAACAATATCCAGATAAATGAAACTCCCATTCCCGATAGTTACAACATCCATTTGCCTGATGCCTCTAGTCCTCAGAATATAATCTCAGAGGATGATTTCTCTGGCTGGCTCATTGTCAGATGTCACTTAAATAACCGAGCTGTGGCAAACTGATTTCAGAAACAGTGCTGCACTGAACAGTCAGGAGACAGGGAGTGAACACCCAGGTTGGTTTAACTGTGCTTCACCACACATCAGTTCTGACTTTAGGAGACTGCTGTCTTACCTGGGGTCGATACCAGTACACTATCCTGTGTGTGGATTGCTCTTCACATAGATTAAGTTTAATTCTCAGGCACCACTGTAAAATTGTCCATTAAATGCAGATGAGCATGTTGTAGAGATCCCTGAACTAGTGCTGATGGAAATAGTCATGTCCAGAAGCCATCCCACAGAACCCTTTTCTTATCGAAACTAAATCCTGAAACCCTGGTACCACTGCCAGCTCACACACCAGAGCACATATGGCCAGGCTGGGTGTTTCTCTCCAGGCACTGATAGCAGACATGCTCATTGCCTACTTTCTCGGTGCTCACATCTGAGAAGACACAGCTCACCTGAGGAGACAGACCTGAGTAGAAACAGAAGACACATCTCATTTCCTTCCCTGCCATGTTGAAGGATAAGCCCTCATCAAAACTTGTTGATTTACCATTATTTTTAAGGCTTTTTTCCCCTTCCAAGCACAGCTGGTTTCCTATTGCTTGCAGCATATTTGAGAAATTTCCATGCAGCTCATTCTTTGTCATATTGAGGTCACTAAGTTGTGTCCTGTAGTCCTTGGGAATCTGGAAAACTGAAATTCACAATAAGATATTTTCCACTGCTGTACTTCAGAAAAAGTGGGATGCAGAGATGGAATATCTTAGCAAATAATTAAGGATAAATAAACCATTTGGGATAAATGCTATTCCTCCCTGGACAATTGCATGTAAGGGCTGTTGAGATGGAGAACATTTGCATAGTAGATTTCTTATTATTTGGCTGTAAGTGAACAAAAAAATTCACTTGTCACTTTTAATCATATATTTCCATTGTGTATCTTTCTCTTATTTTGTTTTCCAGGCTGTCCTTTTTTACTAAAAATATGAACTTAAGCTCTGGATTGCAGTGGAATTGTGTCTGGGAGGTAATGAGCACAATCTGTTTACCAAGACACAAAGCTTCTCCCTTCCCTTCAGATCCAGCATTATGAAAGAGGAATTCATTCCATCCTTAGTCAATATAGCAGGATTGTGGACACAGTTTTCAGGAGACCAGACAATGGCAGCCAGAGCAAGCAGTGAATCTCCTACTCCACCCCTTTCCAGCTCTTCTCCATGTTGCTCATTTCTAGTCTCATCACATAAAGAAGAGGACAAAGATGCTGCGTCAAGGGAAAATACCTGGTTTGCCTGGTTGCCTGTTCTCAGCTGAACCAGAAATTTCACCTGAAGGATGTTATTCAGTAGCTTAAGCCCACCAGAAAACAGAAATGCATTAGTACTTACGTCGAACTGCCAGGGTCACCAGCGCCATCAGCAATGCCAGGCACAGAATGAACAAAATCAGCACTACTGGCCAGCAAGAGCGGGACGAAGTGGGCAGTCCTGGGAGGAATTCAATCATGAAATGGAGGTGCGATATTAAGGGAATGATGAACACATTAGCCTCATTAAATTGCAGCCATCTTCGTAATGCATTGATCAATAAATAATTGCTTTTATTTTATGGTTGTACATTCCCGCTGCAGAGTCTCTGCACACAGCAACAGATGCCCAAACAAAGTAAGAGAGTGAGAGATCACTACAGCTCAGTGGAGAATGTGGACAGTCTTTTCAAAGACCTTGGACTGTGGCAAGAAAAATTGAGAAACCAAGGTAACTGCAAAATTTAGAAAATTGATTGATCAAAGCTGAAAATAAATATGTATGGTTGTGTTAATTTGTGATGTGTGGTATATAGCTATGGTAACCTGGTTAATTTGAGTGCTACAGTAAAATCCCTAATGGTACCTTATGGCAGTTTGAGATTTCTAGCTAGGAATTTGTAGAGAGTTTTTCTGTACGTAGTTACAGCCTAGATAAGCACTCAATGGGGAGAAAAAGGAACAATCTTTTCCTGAGCAAAGGAAATTTTAAGTACGTGGGTCATCCAAAAGAGACCCTGTTCACAGGAGTTGGAATATTTAATGGATTAAGATGCACTGAAGGATGGAGAAATAGCATTCAGTTTGTCAGGGAAATACCAAATCTAAGTCAGATGTTAAAGTTGCCACTATATGAACTTTGTGGTGAGCTGCAGGCAGCTTGACAATAAAGGCAGTAGAATGGGAAGAGGAAATTGGTGTTCTAGAAATTAAAAGGAGTATTTAAAATTGGGGAGTGAA